TCATTTTGCTTAACTTACTGTGTTTGGGGTCTCCTTTTCACAGGCTGCAGGTTCGTAGTTCCCGTTGTTTTTGGTGTGTGCCCCCAGTGGCTAAGGTTGTTTCAGTGGGTTGTGTAGGCTTCCTGGTGGAGGGGACTGGTGCCTGTGTTCTGGTGGGTGAGGCTGGATCTTGTCTTTCTGGTTGGCGGGACTGCGTCCGGTAGTGTGTTTTGGGGTGTCTATGACCTTATTATGATTTTAGGCAGCCTCTCTGCTAATGGGTGGGGTTGTGTTGCTGTCTTGTTAATTGTTTGGCATAGGGTGTCCAGCACTGTAGCTTGCTGGTCGTTGAGTGGAGCTGGGTCTTAGCGTTTAGATGGAGATCTCTGGGAGAGCTTTCGCCGTTTGATATTACATGGAGCCAGGAGGTCTCTGGTGGACCAGTGTCCTGAACTCGGCTCTCCTACCTCAGAGGCACAGGCCTGACACCCGGCCGGAGCACCAAGACCTGGTCACGGCAGACAGGACGGCCTCATCCAAGGGCACTTGCGGGCAGGTAGGGCACACCCGATTGGTGCAGTCACCGAGAGGGCGAGTCCGCCTGCCCACCCACCGGTCCCGTCCCCTTCCCTCTGACTGCCTGAGCGGGTGCAGTCTCGCTTCCTCCAGACGGAGTCTGGGAACCCCACCTCCCTTTGCTCTTTTTTTGAATTTAGAAGTTCTAAAATAATAACATCCTTTTTTTTGTTGTTTGAACTCCTTTAAATAATAACATTGTAGTATCTTCTTTTTTTTCAAATGTTCTTTTGCTGTTAATGTGTCCTCCTTTATCTGGTTCAAAATAATGAAACTACTATGGATGTTTTGTTGTTGTTTTGCTATATAAATTCAAAGAGAATGAAATAAAAGTTTGGTTGCCTTAAAATCCGTATCATGTTTTTCTTAGTGACTTATTGCTCTGTCATTGGGAGCAGATAAAATTTTAAATATAGTCCCCTAACATCCTCATTCTCATGAAAGTTGTAAGTAGAAGTTTAATGCACAGTCTCATACTTCAGATTTTTTATAATTAATTAATTAATTAATTTAATTTTGGCTGCGTTGGGTCTTTGTTGCTGTGCGTGGGCTTTCTCTAGTTGCGGCGAGTGGGGGCTACTCTTTGTTGTGGTATGCGGGCTGCTCATAGCGGTGGCTTCTCTTGTTGCGGAACATGGGCTGTAGGCACACGGGCTTCAGTAGTTCTGGCACACGGCCTCTAAAGTGCAGGGTCAGTAGTTGTGGCGCACAGGCTTAGTTGCTCCGCAGCATGTGGGATCTTCCCGGAGCAGGGCTTGAGCCCATGTCTCCTGCATTGGCAGGTGGATCGTTAACCACTGTGCCACCAGGGAAGTCCTTACCCATTTTTCTACTGAAGTGTTTGTCTCATTGATTAACAAGACTTGTTATTAAGAATATTAAGAGTATTGTTAAGTATGTGTTACCAGCATTTTTGCAGTTTATAATTTGTGCAACTTTATGGTGTCTTTTGTCATACTACTATGTTTTCTTAATTTTTCATTATCGTTTTAATATACTATATTACATGTAGTATATTTAATAATATATCATATTATATATGGTACATAATATTGTGGACAAAATAATTTGTTTTCAAATAGCTGTCCTGGCAACATTTGTTAGCTAATACATTTATTTCCCTACTCATTTGGGATAACACCTTTATCTTATACTTAATTTCCATATGGTAAGTATGTCTATTTCTGGACTCCCTGTTCTGTTGATCTAGGCATCAAGACCAACATATTCACTTTTTAATTTATTGTAGCCTTATAATAAAGTTTAATATCTTATACAACAAGCTTCCCTGTATTCTTTTATTTCTAAAAGTTGTTTTGACCTTTTTGCACTTTTATTCTTTCACATGCACTTTCATGTGTTTTTATTTAAATTTTTACTGATATATAACATGCATAGTAAAAACAAACTTTATAACTAGTTTTTATAAATTATAAAAGCAATTAAAAAGTAATTCAAGGAAAAGTCTCTGACCACTCCCTCACACACCCCAGTGCCATTCCCCAGAGATAACCACTTATTCAAAATTATAAATCTGATGAGAAATATTTTAAAAAATCATCATCTTTTGATTAGGTGAATGTTAGAGTCACTCAGTCAAGTTCTGGAAGATAAAACACTTTGGGATTTAATTTGGATATAATGAATTAATTGGAGAATTGACGTCTTTACAGCATCATCTTCTCCTGTCCAGGAATGCTATGTTTTGTTTTATGGATTTTTTAAAAGTCTTTTGTTATGTCTTTCAATAAGATTTTAAAATTATGTATCTTGCATGTTTCTTATGATGTATATTCCTAGGCTAAAAAAATGTATACCTATATATGTATGTATAAACGTAGCAGACACCAAGGATAAATCATCTTTTTTGTATGACCAGTGACTTACGGGGGAGAGAGACAGGGAAAGAGATGGTGCTTGTGTGCACAAGTGCTATTATAAACCAGAGGCTTTTTACCGTTATACTTTTATGCTGATTATTATTTATAGGGTGGCTAATTTTTTCATATTTATCTTTTATACTTTAAAATACTATTATAATTTATATTTATCTTTTGTACTTTAAAATGCTATTATAATACTTTAAAATACTATCATAGGGACTTCCCTGGTGGCGCAGTGGTTAAGAATCCGCCTGCCAATGCAGGGGACACGGGTTTGAGCCCTGGTCCGGGAAGATCCCACATGCCGCAGAGCAACTGGGCCTGTGCGCCGTGGCGGCTGGGCCTGCGCTCTGGAGCCAGCGAGCCACAACTATTGAGCCCGTGTGCCACAACTATTGAAGCCTGTGCGCCTAGAGCCTGTGCTCCACAACAAGAGAAGCCACTGCAATGATAAGCCTGTGCACCACAACGAAGAGTTGCCCCCGCTCACTGCAACTAGAGAAAGCCTCCACGCAGCAACAAAGACCTAACACAGCCAAAAAAAAAAATACTATTATAGTGGGGACTCCCCTGGTGGTCCAGTGGTTAAGGATCTGACTTCCGCTGCAGGGGACGTGGGTTGAATCCCTGGTGGGAGAGCTAAGATCCCATGTGCCGCAACTAAGGCACTAAGCCTGCACGCCACTAGAGAGCCCGCGTGCCACAACTAGAGAGCCTACGTGCCACAACTACTGAGTCTGTGCACTCTGGAGCCCGCACAGCACAACTAGAGAAGGCTGTGTGCCACAATGAAGAAACAGAGCAGCCAAAAATAGATAAATAAAAATATTTTTAAAAAAATACTATTATAATCTAACTGGGAATAATTTCTTCCCAGTTAGAATACCAGTATTATTCAGTATCCCTGCCTATGAGAAGTGTTGAAATATTGAGAAACTAAATGAAACTAAGAGCTATGGATTAAGAAGGAATAATTTTTCATTCTTATGCCTTGTACAGATCAGGGTGTCTTTTTTCTTTTAGACCTCATTTGCCCTTGTGCCCGCTAGATCATATTGATTGATTGAATGAATGAATACGTAAATAGATGAAGAGATGAGTGGAAAATCAACGATTATAAACACACAGATATCAGAATAAAGGAAAGATTATGAGAAATGTTTCATGTTCATTTTATTCGTGATCTAGTTGTTCCTTAAAGTTTTAATAATCAGAACTTAAGGATGCACACACATATGCTGACAAGAAAAATCAGAGTAGTTTTGATCCATAAAACTTATATTGACAACATAACATTGTTACTTTTAATTTTTATTTTATTTATTTGCTTCACAAATAAGATTTTCTCTGAAAATGCAGCATTGTGCTGACAATAAAAATCATAGAGAACTCATGTGATCAGGGAAATATAATCACGGAAAAAAATGGTAAGGAGATATCCATCTGTTATCAAAGTTTCCTTTGAGATTCCTCTTTCAGATCTGCCGGAAGACTTGAGAATCTTTAGGGTATCTCTTACTAATGTAACTACAGGTCCTGACGTCTTTCTCTGTCATTAAATGGGTCCAGATCAAATAACTCAAAGCCCATGCATTTAAATGTGCAGGTTCCAGCACACTCACCTATAATTCTGAGGTGTCCCAGGCCAAACTTTTGTTCTTCTCTGTTTCTCCATAACATCATTACTTTTAAAGGTAAATCAGCTTTTAATTTCTTTCTTTCTTTTTAAAAAATGTTTATTGGAGTTTAGTTGATTTACAATGTGTGTTAGTTTCAGGTGTACAAATCAGTTATATTGATGTATCTACATATGTACACTCTTTTTTTTTTTTTGGGGATTCTTTTCCCATATAGGCCATTACAGAGTATAGAGTTTCAGTTATATTGATATATCTACATATGTACACTCTTTTTTTTTTTTTTTGGATTCTTTTCCCATATAGGCCATTACAGAGTATAGAGTTCCCTGTGCTATACAGCAGATTCTTATTATCTATTTTCTATATAGTAGTGTGTATATATCAATACCAATCTCCCAATTTATCCCTCTCCCTGCTTCATCCCCTGGTAACCATAAGTTTGTTTTCTACATCCGTGACTCTACTTCTGTTTTGTAAGTAAGTTCATTTGTACACTTTTTGTAGATTCCACATATAAGCGATATATGATATTTGTCTTTTTGTGTCTGACTTAACTTCACTCAGTATGACAATCTCTAGGTTCATCCATGTTGCTGCAAATGGCATTATTTTGTTTTTTTTTATGACTGAGTAATATTCCATTATATATATATATATATATATACACACACACACGTACCACATCTTCTTTATCCATTCCTCTGTTGATGGGCGTTTAAGTTGCTTCCATTTCTTTCTTTTTAACCACTTTTTCTCTAGCTACTAAGTGAAACCTGAATTAAGCTATAGACTCCCCCTGCTGGGTAAGAATGGTGAGAAGAGCAAAAAACCTAAACTTTGTACTTGAACAGTCAAAGGTCCCATTAGGCACTGTTGCAGTGCCCTAACTGGTATTTTTAAATCCTTGTATTGTTCTCCGCAGGGAGCTTTTCCAGCTCGTTTGAAGAAAGTGCTGATTGTGGGAGCACCCATATGGTTCCGAGTGCCCTACTCCATCATCAGCCTCCTTCTGAAGGACAAAGTCCGGGAGAGGGTAAAGGAAGCTAACTTAATTTTATTTGGAGGTGGGATAGATACATTTCCATCTCTACTGCTGAAACCTGCCAGTTAATTTTCTACCTTCAAAAAACCTTCCTGGCTTGTTTCTCTTTCTGCTTCTGTTAGTGTGTTCACTTATATCCTCTGCTTTATTCTTTACTCAGCCCAGTATAGGCTGCCTTTCTTACTGTACAAGTTCCTTGGAGTTAGGACCTGGATGTAGCTTGGGCACTTCCCCTGTACGTAGCACCTTGCATGCAGATAGTATCAACGGAATGTGTCCCATGAGTGACTTAGAGATAGCTACTACTCCAAAATTTAGTCCTGTGGCTCTACAGGCTTTTAATATTTAACAACTCCTAATATAATTACATCAGTTGAACTGGTGTTTGAATTTGTTCAACTGGAAATATTCAGTCCCCTTGACCACCACGGTGGCGGAGGAGACTCTCAATCTCTCTTTTACTTTATTCCTGGCATTTTCTCTTAAAACAGCTTGTTGCTTCCCAACTTCAAAAGCATTGTCTAAAATTATCTTGATTCTATTATCATCCACTGAATATTCCAGGATGGAAAGATTGTGGTTTCAGTCATTTACTCATTCATTTCTCACCCTTGAAAGAAAGGGTATATGAAACATTGGTATAATAGAATAAGATAATAATGTTGTAAAATATTATCAGAGGGTTTTTTTTTTTTAGTATGAGATTATATGAATAATAACAATACAGATCTTTGTAGCTGAGGCGACTTGGGTTGGAGAGGGGAAACTAAAGATGTTTGATTCTGCGGAAGCTACTTAGTGGCCTAGTGACTCCAGAGTAGGAGATGTTTTTCCTAAGATAACTCTTTGAGAGGACTCCTTAGGCAAGTTCTTAACACTTGAATTATATACAAGTATATACATGCATGTATGAACTCAGAATATATTGAGCACCTTTACAGTCCAGGTTCTGGGCCCTGGGAATTAAAAGTTGAGTAAGATAGCCCTTATTCCTGAGGAGCTTATGGTCCTGAAAGGGGACACAGACATGTTCAGAGAACTGTGGCTCTGAGAAACATAGAGGAGAATGTTATCTCAGACTGTCAGGGAGGGCTTCACAGAAGAGGTTGAGCTATAAGCTTGTCCTTGAAGAGGCCAAAGAGGAAAAGAGGGCATTCCAGGAAGAGGCAACAGCAAGCAAGGCAAACATTCCCATTCCACACAGATTCCAAAGAGAACCAACTAGGCTAATTTGGTCCAGTATGGCTGTGTCCAAGCAGAGAGAGGAATTAAGTATTACAATTACTTCTCTAGCATTTTTCCTGGGCTACCCAGCCTCTGGGAGGCTGGTCTTGTCTTGCTTTCACAGAAACCTATCTTTGAGGATGTCCATACCAAGCTGTGAGTAAAACACAAGCCAACAGGCTTAGAATTGATTGCCTTAGTATGGGGTTGACAAAAATAACCACTTCCCATGCATTCTTAGTAGTAAAAGGCGAATACCCACATGAGATGGTACTGGAAAGCCTTGTAAATAGTATAAAGCCTTGGTTCACTATACCTACGTTTATATAAGGTTTATAACAGGGCCCCTAATTCCAGGAATGAATTTGCTATACGTTGTGGGAAGTCAAACCTTTTCTGGGAAATTCGTAGGACTTCATTCCCAAGCAGATGAAATTCAGTCTACTCCTTTTCTAAGTTTACCAGGTATTTCAAGCAAATCTCATATCATTCTCCAAAGCACTTTTGTTCTTTATCTGTTTGTTCCCCTCCCTCCCCACATACTCACGTGGTTCTTTCTGGCTTTCCAGATTCAGATATTAAAGACATCTGAAGTCACCCAGCACCTGCCCAAGGAGTGCCTTCCAGAAAACCTGGGTGGGTACGTTAAAATTGACCTCGCCACTTGGAATTTCCAGTTTCTATCCCAGATGAACGGCCACCCAGATCCCTTCGATGAGATCATCCTGTTCTCCCTCCCTCCGACCTTAGACTGGGACTCAGTGCATGTCCCAGGTCCCCATGCCATGACCATCCAAGAGTTGATGGACTATGTTAGCACCAGGCAAAAGCGGGGGATATATGAGGAGTATGAAGACATCCGTCGTGAGAACCCTGTTGGCACTTTCCACTGTTCCATGTAAGTAGGAAAGGTTTGGGCCAGCGATCACTTTCCAGGATGCTGTGGCACGCATTGGTACCCCTACCCCTCCTTCCACACCTCACTTCCTTAACAGAGGCTTTTCCTTGTGTTAAGAGCCTCACTCTCACTTAGATGATAGGTTCTCTCATCCAGAAAGAGGCACCTCTTGGTGCTTGTTTCCAACAGTGTATGCTGTGAAATTTCTGAAGGTCTTTGGTCCCAGTGGAGGAACTGTGTACTAATGGATACATTTTTTGATATTTCCCTGATATGCAAGTGTTTTTAGGAAAAAAACAAAAATGTAGGCTCAAAATGTAGGCTGTCGATTTGATCTCTGGTCCTTTCATTTGGGCAGTTTCTCCCTACAGCGTTTATAGTATTACATTACTTTCTGAGGAGGGGTACTGGTCCATTTAAGATAATCCACAGTCAGTAAGAGAAAAGAGTTGCCTCTTAGGAATTCAGCCTTGTGGGATTTTCCTTCTACCTGAATTCTGTAACTGGTTTATAACCACTTGATAACTATTGTTGGCAATAGAGCGTGGATCATTTCTCTTACTGCTGCTGTCATTTATCTTACCATGTTTTCATTGGCTGTTGCAAAAGCTTCTTTTTCTCCAAGTTTTGAGACTGTTTGTTGAAAATTAAGGAAGCTCAGGGACTTCCCTGGCGGTCCAGTGGTTAGGACTTTGCCTTCCAATGCAGGGGGTGCAGGTTTGTTCCCTGGTCAGGGAGCTAAGATCCCATATGCCTCGCAGCCAAAAATCCAAACGTAAAACAGAAGCAATATTGTACCAAATTCAATAAAGACTTTAAAAATGGTCCACATCAAAAAAAAAAAACTCTTAAAAAAAAAAAAGAAAATTAAGGAAGCTCTCCCCAGTGGGTCCCAGGCTCAAGTTCCAGCTTAGCCAGAAATACTCTCTGTAACTTACCCAAGTTATTTCTCTTCTTTGCACCTCAGTTTTCCTGTGTGTGTAGTATTTGATATTAGACTCACTGATATCTACTTACTCTTTTGTAGCTTAAATGTTTTAGGAATCCGTGATTCTGTGAGTACCTCTTTCCTCTTGTAATTCCTGTCCAGCTTAGTCAGTGTGCTGTAAAGAAGGTATGCAGGGAGTGAGGAAAGAGGGAAAAGGAAAAAAAAAAAGAGGGAAAATAATGAGTTAGGAAACAGATAAGGGAAGTAAGAGAGAAGAAGCAATTGAGAAAAAATCAATAAGCAGAACAAGAATGCAAAGGAAAACAAGAAATAAAAAAGAGAGAGAGAAAGCAGAGTATATATCATGTGGGAAGAGTATTCTTCTCTCCCACACAGCTCTGTTTCATCCCTACCAGCTCAAGACCCCTGTATGTATCCAGTCTTTTTCCCAGCCAGTGCAGAGGATGCACACTTGTCCTGGGTATTTCTGACCCTGCTCTGGGTGCTTCTACTGAGGGGTCCTTGAGGTGTCATTTCTACAATGGTTCCCCTTCCCCACATTAAAAAAGTGGGTTTGGATTGTGCTCCTTGCATCACCCAAGCCAGCTGTCGTGTTATAATCAGAGAATATGTCCTAGTCCTATGGAAGGACTTCCCAATCTTGCCTCTTTATTTACTGAATCAATGAAAACGTCCCACTTCAGGAACTAGAAACCAGAATCCTCAACATCTTCAGGCCCCTGTCTTACACCAAGTTCCAGTAGAACTACTTACACAGAACAAACTGTTTCCCATGGAATTCTAGATTAAGAAGTAGATAGAATATTCACTGCTGTCCAGGATGCCCGTGGACCAAGAGACTTTCTTTCCCTTTTTTTTCCTCCCCTATACCATCCTTTCAAAGGATTTTAAAATTTTTAACTTTAAATTTTAACTTTATTATGAGGTGATTGTAGATTCACATGCATTTGTAAGAAATAATAGAGATCATGTGTACCCTTTCCACAGCTATCCCATGGTAACATCTCCCAGAAGTTTAATATAGTATCACAACCAGGATATTGATACAATCCACCAATCTTATTCAGATTTCCCCAGTTTCAGTGTGTGTGTATGTATTTAGTTCTTTACAATTTTTATCACACAGGTAAGTTTGTGTATACATAACTGCAGTCAAGATACAGAATTCCATAACCACATACCTCCATTCCACCCCTCCCCATCCCTAACCCCTGCAACCACTAATCAATTCTCCATTACTATAATTTTATCATTTTAAGAATGTTATTATATAAATGGAATCATGCTATGTGTAAACTTTTGGGATTGCCTTTTTTCACTCAGTAGAATTCTCGGGAGATTCACCCAAGTTGTTATTTGTATCAAGTGTGTTCCGTTTTATTGCTGAGTAATATTCCATGGTATGGATGAACCACAGTACAAACTGTTAACCAATTAACCATTTACCTGTTGAAGGACATCTGGGTTGTTTCCAGTTTCTATTACAATTAAAGCTGCTCTGAACATTTGTGTCGAGGTTTTGTGTGAAAATAGGTTTCTATTTCTCTGGGATAAATGTCCAAGAGTGGGATTGATAGGTCATATGGTAACTATGTGTTTAGTTTTATGAAAAACTGCCCAGCTCTTTTCCAGAGTGGCTGTACCCTTCTGCATTCCTCCCAGTGATATATGAATGATCCATTTTCTTTGCATCCTCACCAGCGTTCAGTGTTGTCACTATTTTTTATTTTAGCTGTTCTGATAAGTGTGTGATGAGATCCCTAAATTAAAATTGTGGTTTTAATTTACATTTTCCTACTATCTAATGATATTGAGCATCTTTTCATGTGCTTTTTTGCCGTCTGTATATTCTCTTTGTAAAATGTCTTATGCCCATTTTCTATTTGGATTTTTTTTTAAACTGTTGGGATTTGAGAGTTCTTTATATTCTAGGTACTGGTTCTTTGTTGGATACATGGTTTGCGAATATTTTCTTCCAGTCTGTAGCTTTTTTTTCATCCTTTTCTGGGTCTCTTGTGAAGCAGAAGTTGATTTTGATGAAGTTCCTTTAACAGTTATTCCGTGTAGGGATCATGCTCTTGGTGTCAAGTCTAAGAACACATTGCCTAGCCCTAGAATCCAAAGATTTTTCTACGTTTTTTTTCCTAAAATTTTTATAGGTTTATGTTTTACATTTAATTTAAGTCTGTGATCCATTTTGAATGAACTTTTGTGTAAGGTGTAAGGTTTAGGTTGATGTTCAGATTTTTTTCCCTATAGGTATCTAATTACTCCAGCACTGTTGGTCGAAAAGAGTATTCCTTTTATTGAATTGTTCTTGGAACTTTGTAAAATATCAGCTGGGCTTATTTGTGTGGGAAGAAGGATTTTTTTTTTTTTTTTGTGGTACGCGGGCCTCTCACTGTTGTGACCTCGCCCGTTGCAGAGCACAGGTTCCGGACACGCAGGCTCAGCGGCCATGGCTCACGGGCCCAGCCGCTCTGCGGCACGTGGGATCTTCCCAGACCGGGGCACGAACCCACGTCCCCTGCATCGGCAGGCAGACTCTCAACCACTGCGCCACCAGGGAAGCCCTTTTTTTTTTTTTTTTTTAATCCACAGAGTACTCAAACTGTGTTTAATAAATTTATTTATTTATTTTTGGCCGCGTTGGGTCTTCATTGCGGCACGCAGGCTTTCTCTAGTTGTGGCGAGTGGGGGCTATTCTTCGTTGTGGAGCGCAGGCTTCTCATTGTGGTGGCTTCTCTTGTTGTAGAGCATGGGCTCTGGGTGTGTGGGCTTCAGTAGTTGTGGCATGCGGGCTCAGTTGTTGTGGCTTGTGGGCTCTAGAGTGCAGGCTCAGTAGTTGTGGTGCACAGGCTTAGTTGCTCTGTGGTATGTGGGATCTTCCTGGACCAGAGCTCGAACCCGTGTCCCCTGCATTGGCAGGTGGATTCTTTTTTTTTTTTTTACGGTACGCGGGCCTCTCACTGTTGTGGCCTCTCCCGTTGCGGAGCACAGGCTCCGGACGTGCAGGCTCAGCAGCCATGGCTCACGGGCCCAGCCGCTCCGCGGCATGTGGGATCTTCCCAGACCAGGGCACAAACTCGTGTCCCCTGCATTGGCAGGCGGACTCTCAACCACTGCGGCACCAGGGAAGCCCGGCAGGTGGATTCTTAACCCTGGTGCCACCAGGGAAGTCTGGGAATTTTTTTTTTTTAAATATGAGAAAGAACAGAGCATAATGTGACAAACAACTATTTCCTATCACCGCATTAGTACTGACAGTTTTTAGCATTTTGTTGGATTTGCTTCATCTTTTTTATTGTATAAAAGAATTAACTGTAAAGTTGAAATCCTTCTAATCCTCACCATCAGTTCTCCTCATTCCCCAGAAGCAGTTACTAGTATGAATGTGGTATGTTTCCTACCAGATCATTTTGTTTATACTGTTACATATACATTCATACCTATGAACAATATAGGGTATTACTTTATATGTGTGGTCTTTATAAGTTTTTTTTTGCTTTTAATCAATATGTATGCAAATGATTTTTTCGAAACCAAATAGTACCAAAAAAAAAAAGTTATGAATGACAACAATCTCCTGACTTGCGCTCAGTTCCACTTGCATTGTCATCCATTTTCAACTCTTGTAGCTGTTTTTTTTTTTCTTTATTTTAGTTTGTTTCATTTCCTTCAGGTCTCCAGGAAACCTAGAGAAGAACCGCTATGGGGATGTACCCTGCCTGGACCAAACTAGAGTGAAGCTGACAAAACGAAGCGGCCACGCTCAGGTAGAAAGATAAATGCCATCCTTTTAGGAGCACTGAGGGAAATTTAAGCCTCTTCCAAAGTGAAGCTTACTAATACTGTAGTAGAAAGAACATGGACTCTAAGCCAGAGAGAGAAGGTTTGAGTTTTATTTTTTTAAACTATATATATATATATATATATACATATATATATATATATTTAAAATTTATTTATTTATTTTTGGCTACGTTGGGTCTTCGTTGTCGCGCGTGGGCTTTCTCTAGTTGCGGCGAGAAGGGGCTGCTCTGTTGCGGTGCATGGGCTTCTCATTGCGGTGGCTTATCTTCTTGCAGAGCAGGGGCTCTAGGTGCGCGGGCTTCAGTAGTTGTGGCACGAGGGCTCAGTAGTTGTGGCTCGCGGGCTTAGTTGCTCTGCGGCATGTGGGATCTTCCTGGACCAGGGCTGGAACCCATGTCCCCTGCATTGGCAGGCGGATTCTTAACCACCATGCCACCAGAGCAGCCTCAAGGTTTTAGTTTTAGACTACATACTAGTTATTAACATACACAAGTCCCTATGTGCCCATCTCACAGTACTAAGTAGAAATTAAATGAAATATTTTATGTACATGCTGATAGCACAAAGTTTGGCATATTACTGTAGGTGCTCGATAAATGTTCAATTATTTCGCCTTTTACTCCTAATAAAGTCATAGTCATGTCATCCACCATACTGGTGAGTGTATATGCGTCAATACCAGGCGACTCTCGTTATAAGTGACCTCTAGGACTTCCCTGGTGGTCCAGTGATTAAGACTCCACGCTCCCAATGCAGGGGGCCTGGGTTTGATCCCTGGTCGGGGAACTAGATCCTGCATGCCGCAACTAAGACCCAGGGCAACCAAATAAATAAATATTAAAAAAAAAAGAAAGAAAGAAATCCAACTCTTAAAAAAAAAAGTGACCTCTGATTTTTCCATCTAGAAGATCTGACAAAAATTTTGGACAACTAGTGTATACATAAATATATAGGGATAGAGATAAATTGGTCAGGTGCCTCTATTATTTAATGTATTAATTTGATCATATCTGTGCATATTAAAAATCACATGTACTTAGTAGAGATATTTAGTGAAAAGTTATTCAAACTTTATACATACACCTTTAATATCAGTTTCTTTGTCCTCATTTGAGCTACTTTTTGAGTCAGTCGAACAGTTTTCCAGAACACATCATTTTTATTTCCTTTTTTAAGTGCCTGGTATTGTCACTGGAAAGTTTATTCTAAGTCAGAAAAGTCTATTAGCATAACATTAGCACATTTTTTTCTTTTCATTCATCCTGTATCTCATGCATCCTCTGTAGCATTATCATTTACTTATTCCTTTTTAAAGTCCTCTTTATTATAACTTGTTTACAGCAGCATCCAACGCTTAAGAATTTTGAGGTCAACAATTAAATAGGTGTTACATTTCTTCTTTTTCCTTCCGATACAACAGTTCTGTCTGGTGACCTCTGTACGCATCAAAAAACAGCATTGATTGAGGTTGCGTTCACTATTTAAAAGGAGTTTAAATAGTGCCCCTTAACATGACACAGTATAGGGACTTGTTATATCCCCCCTTTTTTCTGGAGGATAATTCTTAGGAACATCATTGCCTTATATTTGGGTATGTATGGTACATGAGTTAGTACCCTGGGATCATGGTTTTAATCTCTTTTGACCCTAGTGTTTCAAGCACATAAACTGAATTCATAATCCTGTCTAGGATCCTTAGAGAGGGTTTACCTGCAGTGGCATTAGCTAAGAGTCTGGCTGACTGAAGGCAAATTCACCAGTATTATTAAGATCATCTTAGTTGAGTTGGGGCTCTGGAGTCAGAGATAATCTGAATGTATGTCTTGTTGACTACTCTGTCTTCAAGACCTAGGACAGTGCCTGGCATGTATCAGACATTCAGTAAATTATTTGTGAATGAATGAGTGAATCCCAATGTACCAGGAGACTATTCTAGTCATTCTGTAATTAATCTGAAGTTCGTCGCTTGAGTTATAGTCCCTCTCATTACTACAAATATTGGTATAGCCTTTATTTCCACAATAAGTGGAGGATTCAGGTTTATTAGTGAATTGTTCAACAGATTTCACCTGGAATTACAAAGCCGTTAGTCCAGTTTCAGTTGAACCTGGCCCATAACATAATGTGCATGCTGTGTTTCTTCCTACTATTTCAGTTTGCCCCTAAGTCTATACTTTATCTCTGAGGTCATTTTCAGTTTTTAATATGTAATGATTCTTCTGAAGTTGCTGATTTTAATTCCCAGTGCTCTCAGAGACAAGGATGCTAAGAGCTGGTATCCTTAGTTATAAAGAAATGTCTCCTTTAAATAGGTGGCATTTCTTTTCAAAGCATGAAGGTAGCTCCAAGAGTAACAGCTCATATATTACTTATATAATATGTTGATTGGCATGTACCAGGTAAATCCTTTGTACTTTTCTATGCCTTCTCACCTGGGTCCTGCAGTGTGTACCATTTGAATGTGCCAGGCTGAACAGAGGATGGGCTTTGGCTGACTATGGGTGGGCCCTGGATTGAGAAGCCTGGTTGGGGTGAGTGAGACTTTTAGCTTTCTGGGTCTGCTGCAGATGATCCATTAGCTCAGTGAAGGTGTCCAAGTCAGGGTAGAACACTAGTAGTATGAGGTCAATACCAGTTGCTGTGGGAGAAGAACAGAGCAGGAAACTCTTGAATAAATAATTAGTGGGAGGATAAGTTGGTAGACTGACTATCTAATGGACATATATCCAAATAGCATGGGTTTGACCATGAGATGGAGATTTTTTTTTTTTTTTTTTTGGCCGAGCCGTGTAGCTTGCAGGATCTTAGTTCCCCGACCAGTGATTGAACCCGGGCCTATGGCAGTGAAAGCACCAAGTCCTAACCACTGGACCGCCAGGGAACTCCCTGGAGATGTTTTCTTAGGGTGGCTGTGTGGTACTGACAGTTCAGACTGTCCTCCAAGTGTTGGAACCCAGTGGAGAAAGGGTTGATGGGGAGTCATTCCCATCTCTCTAGAGTGGAGTGGAGTATGGATTTTCCCTAGTTTGCTGTTGAAACTTTTTTACTTTTGTCCTCCTGTAACCCTCCATATCCTATTTAATTTCCCTGATGGCTAATGATGTAAATAAGACCGAGGACATTGGGAGGTGGGAAAAGGCCCGCAGAAGAGAGTGAGTCAGGAGCTATTCATTGAGACTCTTCTGAATGTGTGTGGCTTTTTGCTTTGTGTTAATTTAGGCAGTAATGGAGCCCGTTTGGCCCATACTGTTGATGGTCCTAGCTGTGAGGTATAGCTTTCTTCCTTCTCCAGTCACACTTTGCCTTTTGTGTGTCACAGCATGGACAGGTGTTCCCGCTTAGGTTGCTTGGCTTGCCTGCCTTTTGGTTTTGGTTCTGAGCTGTAGTGCTACAAGTCCTAATGAACTCCTTTTTTGTAAATAACAGCTTTACTGAGATATAATCCACATACCAAACAGTTCACTCATTAAAAGTGTACAAGTCATTGGTTTTTAATATATTCTCAGAGTCATGCAGTTATCACCACAATCAACTTTAGAACATTTTATCACCTAAAGAAGAAACTCGCCTTGGTAGTCACTCCCCGTTTCCCGCAAACCCACCTACTTTTTGTCCACTCTTTTTGCCTATTGTGGACATTTCACATAGATAGAATCATACAATATATGGCCTTTTGTGTCTGGTTTCTCTCAGCGTGTTTTCAAGGTTCATACATGTTGTAGCATGTATCAGTATTTCACTCCTTTTAATTGCTAAATAATATTCCATTGTTTGGATATATGCCACATTTTATTTACCCATTCATTAGTTGATAAACAATTGAGTTGTTTCCATTTTTTGGCTATTATGAATGATGCTGCTGTGAATATTTGTTTATGAGGTTTTTTTGTTTACATCTGTGTCTTCATTTCCCTTGGGAGTGGAATTGCTGGGTCACATGGTAGCTCTGTGTTTAACCTTTTGAGGAAGTGCCAGACGGTTTTCCAAAGTGACTATACCATTTTACATTACCACTAGCAGTGTATGAGGGTTCCAGTTTCTCTACATCTTTGCCCATATTTGTTATTATATTTTACCTGTAGCCATTCTAGTGAGTGTGAAGTGGTATCTCAGTGTGGTTTTGATTTGCATTTCCCTGATGACTAATGATGTTGAGCAACTTTTCATGTTGCTCATTGGCCATTTATATATCATCTTGGAAAAATGGCTATTCTGATTCTTTGCCCATTTTAAAACTGAGTTGTCTTTTTACTATTTATTTGTGGGAGTTCTTTATATAGTCTAGATACAAATCCCTTATCAAATGTGTGCATTCTGTGGGTGGTTATTTCGCTTTCTTTCTTTTTTAAAAAAAATATTTATTTATTTATTTATTTTGGCTGCACTGGGTCTTAGTTGTGACATGTGGGATCTTTAGTTGCTGCATGCATATGGGATCTAGTTCCCTGACCAGGGATTGAACCCAGGCTCCCTGCATTGGGAGCGCAGAGTCTCAGCCACTGGACCACCTGGGAAATCCCCTGTTTTTTCACTTTCTTGATGGTGTCCTTTGAAGCACAAAAGTTTTCAGTTTTAATGTAGTTCAATTTATCTGTTTTTTCTTTTGTTGCTTGTGCTTTTGGTGTCATATCTAAGGAGGCTTTGCCTAACCCAAGGTCACAAATATTTAATCCTATGTTTTCTTCTAAGAGTTTTATAGTTTTAGCTCTTACATTAGGTCTGTGATCCATTTGGAGTTAGGTTTTTTGTTTGTTTGTTTTTGTTTTTTGGGGGCTTTTTTTGGCCTCGCTGTGCAGCTTGCAGAATCTTAGTTCCATGACCAGGGAGTGAACACAGACCATAGCAGTGAAAGCACTGAGTCCTAACCACTGGACTGCCGGGGAATTTCCTGGAGTTAGTTTTTGTATATGATGTGAGGAAGGGGTAAGCTTCATTTTTTCTGCATGTGGATATCCACTTGTCCCAGTAACATTTGTGGAAGTGAGGTTTTGAATTGGTCCTTTCACTCCTCATTTTCTGCGTGACAAAAAGAGAAAATTCATACCTTGAGTTTTATTTACTTAGTACATCATTTTCCTACCCAAATGGTGTATCCCACACAGCTGCAACGATATTTCCTTTTTATCATTAGACAGATTACATCAATGCCAGTTTCATGGATGGCTACAAACAGAAGAATGCTTACATTGGGACACAAGGTAAGTAGTCTGCCCCTCACAAATTGGTTTTGTGTCATCTACCTGTGATTGTTGGCATCAGATGATAGCATAATTTTTAAAGGAAATGGTAGCTTGAGGTGATGTTGCAGCCAGTAGATCCTGGCCTTTCATAAAGATTGAGGGTTATTGAGGAAGGCAGATGAGAGGTGTAGAGTTTCTGTACCAGATGTGCCTGGAAGCTCACTGCATAGAGATAAACTAGAGATTTGAACACACAACATTACTACAAGTTTTTGGACTGTGTCTTAGTGTTGCCAACCCAAGGGAATGGGACATCAGAGTTCACTGGGCAGTGAGATGCTCTTTATGTCAAGTAGGACATAAAGGAATGGCAATGGAACTTCCCAGAGATTGAGTTCAGTCTGTGAATGGGTGTTGCTGGCTTAAGAGGCTTTTGCTGGTCCCTGTACCATCACAGAGCACGCCAGCAGTCTCTGACATGGATAGTCTTTGCTAGGTCTGACAGTGAAGTATTGGGCGCTCTAGGAGGATTTCAGATGGAGCCTCTGTTAATATTCTTGTGGGCCCTAGTACTACTCCTGACCTGTTTTTTGCCATCTCAAGGAGAATACCAGGTTTTCTTCAAAGAGGGTGGTGAGAAGTCACAACATAGGAGGACATGACAGGCCATCATATGGAATTAAGGCCCTTTGACCATTGTGGAATATGGCCAGCAAGAGATCTGGCGGATACCTCCTTAACCAAGTGATCACACTTAACATCACCAATAATGGACAAATAGATATTATATGCCTCCTGTTGTGGTATAGTGAGAACTACACAACATAACCTGTGTTGTATGTTGCCAGTTTTTTGGGGTTTTTTTAATAAATTTATTTATTTATTAAAATTTTGGCTGCGTTGGGTCTTTGTTGCTGCGTGTAGGCTTTCTCTAGTTGCAGCTAGTGGGGGATACTCTTCGTTGTGGAGCACAGGCTCTACACGCGCGGGCTTTAGTTGTGGCATGTGGGCTCAGTAGCTGTGGCTCGTGGGCTATAGAGCGCAGGCTGCATAGCTGTGGCGCCCGGGCTTAGTTGCTCCGCAGCATGTGGGATCTTCCCAGACCAGGGCTTGAACCCGTGTCCCCTGCATTAGCAGGCGGATTCTTAACCACTGTGCCACCAGGGAAGTCCTGTTGCCAGTTTTTAAGTCTGAATCTAATAATGAGAGACAAACCTGACAAATCCAGATTGTGGAACATACTAGAGACCTGGGTTAGACTTTTCAAAGTTAATGCCATGGGGGAAAAAAAAAGACAGGGAACTGTTCTGGATTAAAGGAGACTAAAGAGACATTGATAACCAAAGGCAGTGTGTCATCCATACTTGCAAACTCAATTTGGAGAAAAATTTGTTAAGGACAAACTATTGGGACAGTTGGAGACTGTGTATTAGATAATATTATTGTATTAATGTTTAATTGCTGCAGTGTGATAATGGTATTGTTCTACAGGAGAATACGTGTTCAAGTATTTAGGAGTGAAATGTCATAATGTCTGAAACTTAAATAGTTCAGTAAAAGAGAAAATATGTGTTGTGTATATATAGAGAAGCAGGCTTTGCAAAACGATAGCCAATTGGTCTGATGGTCACAGATTTATTGTTTGTCCCTTAGGAGGGACTACTCTCTCCAACAAGTCCTTTCAAGACCCTAGGAACAAATAAGAGAACTATCAGGAAAGATTTTGGGCAGGTATAGATTAGGATGTGATCTGCCTGAGAGTAGGACTTTGTTGAGGAGGATGACCGTGGCATGGATGGGCTTATGGAGGGTAAGGATTGACTCTAAGGGTCTCAGAATGCTCCTCTCTCCAGGTTTAGAAGGCAAGGGCACTTCTTAGAGTTGCTAGTTCTGCAGAATCCAGGGATTGAATCCTTTAGGCTGGCTCTGAAGGCCCTGTGCAGGAGAAGAAGCTCATCCAGGAGTATGAGAAAGAGGATTTCTTGAGTTAAACACTGATCATCTTCAGAAGGCATCAGCACTCTGTTAGGACTGGAAAATGGGATCCTGTGATGTTGAGAAGGCTGGTTTGGTTTGTCTGGTTAACCTTCTTGGCTGTGTTCAGTATTCTGATTTTTATTCATAATATTTCTAATAATATCTGTCATTTATTGAAAGTATCTATTATATATTAGATATATAATCACCATCTAATTATAGACACTCCGCAAGGAAGGTTTATTAATCCACGAACAAACAAGCCCAAAGAGATTAGGTGACCTTGGGTCACACAGCTAGTAAGTGACACAGACAGGATTGGGCACATGTCTGTTTGATTCAAAAGTCCTTGCAAGCCAGGTTAGTGGATTGTTTCATCCATGTCAGCATAAACTGCTGACTTTATTTCTTCGCAGAAGTCTACTGTTAAAGAGTCTAACCTGGGAAGTGTAACTTTCCCTTCTAAATCTCTCTTTTATGCCTTTGAGGAAATTATGACCCTTCTCCATCTAGCCTTGAGTCTAAGTGCTATTATCAGGTGCTCTGACTGGCAACACCAATTTTGCCAGTGGTTTGAATGTGGAAAATAAAGTATATGAGAGCTGCTGTGATGCAGTATAGTGCGATGTGAACACGGCTAAGAGTCAGAGGTGGGGAAAGGGTGTTTTTATTATCTTCTTGACATGCATGCTATGGTAATGCCATGTCCATTGTAGAAAATGAAGATGAAAATCACTCATAACCCAGAGACCCAGAGAAAATGTTAACATTTTGCAGCATCTCCTTCTAAACCTCATTCTGTGCATACAAATAGATATGGACATATAAACTATCTAACAAAATGGGCTTTTCTCTTTTTTCTGTTGATGGTTGTCTTGTGGATACCTTTCCATAGCAAAAATACAAATCTTATAATATCACCTTTATGGACTACTTAAATTTGGGGGTATGCCATAATTTAACATCCTCTCTTGTTAGACATTTAGCTTGTTTCCAAGACTTCACATGCTCCTGGCAGTGTCCACTTCTGCAAAGAGGGAATTCTAGTATCATAAGATGGTAGTGCTTCCTAAGAGACTTCAGCAAAAATGGTAGTGCAATTAGCAGATTTCCGTGACAAAATCAGCCCTTGGTAGTGCCCTGCTTCCCTGAAAGCAAAGGAGAAAAAAGCACTGGGGAAGTACAAGGAATTATCCTCGGTTGTTACTCACTTGATTGAAAGGGAGTTACTGGCTCACAGGCATCTTCAGCGTTCCTGCTGAGTGCCCAGCCCTGTACAGATTCTAACTCTAAAAGCAGTAGTTGATGACATAGCCCTTGCCCTCAGCACCATGTTTGCCTGAGATATGATTACTTCTCACAAAGTAAAATGACTGATGTAAGACCATATACATTAAATGGTTAAGATGTTTTGATCCAGATGTGCCATCAAGAGCTGAGATGAGAGGAAGCCCTACAAGGAATGTGGTGTTGGGGCTTCCCTGGTGGCACAGTGGTTAAGAATCCGCCTGCCAACGCAGGGGACACGGGTTTGAGCCCTGGTCCAGGAAGATCCCACATGCCACGGAGCAGCTAAGCCCGTGAGCCACAGCTACTGAGCCCATGCACCACAACTACTGAAGCCTGCGCGCCTAGAGCCCGTGCTCTGCAACAAGAGAAGCCACCGCAATGAGAAGCCCACGCACCACAATGAGAAGCCCACGCACCGCAACGAAGAGTAGCCCCCATGTGCAGCAATGAAGACCCAACACAGCCATAAATAAATAAATAAATAAATAAATTTTTTAAAAAAAGGAATGTGGTGTTAAGAGAAAGCTTTAAGGAAGAGGCAGCACTTGAAAATGGGTAGAGTGTTGATCATTTTGCAGTGTATAGAAATATCGAAAAACATACAAATCCCTATATGTTGTACACCGGGAACTAACATAGTGTTGTAGGCCAATTATACTTCGAAAACAAACTCATAGAAAAAGAGATCATATTTATGGTTACCAGGGGTTGGGGAGAGGGGGAAATTGGATGAAGGCAGTCAGAAGGTACAAATTTATTGATATAAGCTGAATAAGCACTAGGGATGTAATGTGCAGTGTGATAAATATAATTAACACTGCTGTGTGTTATACATGAAAGCTGTTAAGAAAGTAGAACCTAAGAGTTCTCATCACAAGGAAAAAAGTTTTTTTTTTCTTTTAAATTTTGTATTTATATGAGATGATGGATGTTCACTAAACTTATTGTGGTAATCATTTCATGACATAAATAAGTCAAATCATTATGCTCTCTATACCTTAAACTTATACAGTGCTGTTTGCCAATTATAGCTCAATAAAACTGGAAGAAAAAAAAAAACAGAAAATGGGTAGAAAGTCCAATGGCAATGGAGGTGAGAGAATGTGAACAAAGGAATAGAGGCAGAAGTGCGCTTGTGTGTCTATATTGTGATGAAGCAATTTTTTAGAAAGATTAAACTGGCAAGGGTATCCAGAATAGACTGGAAGAAAAATTCCTATTCAGAAAAGTAAACCAAGATGGTACTACAGGAACTCAGACAAAAGATGATATGGTCTTTGTGGCAGTGAATTTCGGCAGGAAGACCAGGATAGGGGCAAAAGGGTAAAAACCAAAAACATTCCAAAGGCAAAAAAAATCTAGGACTTGGTGTCTGTTTCTGGGAGATGAAAGAAATGGGTAAGTCAGAGTTGACTCCAACTTTTTGAGACTGAGTCATTTAAGAATGCCAGTACTGTTAACAGAGTTGAGAAAGTAGAGAGAGAAGGCTAATTTTGAAGGAGGAGACTGAATTGCAAACATGCGGGGTCTGAGGAGATGGATGAGGCGACATGGAAGGGGAATGGTTTAGTAGGCAACTGGTGATTATAAGGCTTAGGTGAGGTGAAAGCAGCTAGAGACATGTGCACAGTTGACACTCTCAGTCTGGATGTGATAGCTGAAGCCCTGTTGATGAGGCTCTAAGAGGATATGTAGCAATGCTTCTCAAACTGTAGCCTACCTACAATTTTACCTGGGAATCTTGTTAAAATGCAGATTGTGCATTTCTAATCCTCTCCCATACGATGCTGGTGCTGCTTGCCCAAGGACCACCCTGAATAGCAGGGATATAGTCAAAAAGGCAGGGAGCCAGCGTATGTGCTTTGGAGTTAGTAGTTGGAAAAAAACAGAAGAGCCTAAGAAGGAAAGAAGAGCTTCCCAGGGTCACGTTCCTTGTCTTCTACTTTCATTGTAGGCCCTTTGGAGAATACCTATCGTGATTTCTGGCTCATGGTATGGGAGCAAAAAGTCTTGGTGATTGTCATGACCACCCGGTGAGTTCATCCCTTTTCTACCCATTGCACTTCCCCCCCTCCCCCGTCCCCAAGCATGGGTGATTCTAGAGGGGAGTTTAGCTCTTAGAAACAATGAGGATTAGGAAAGCCATGGCAAAGAATTTGAGATGTCTTAGCTTTTTTCTTAGCTGACCCAGAGTTAACAGAGCCAGGGTATGGTGGAGATTGATAGATCTAGCTTGTCAAAGCTTTAATCCGTGGCTCTGGTGACCCTGTGCCAGTTACAGCCTATCCTGAGGTCCTGGCCTTAACTACTAGAGGAAGCATTGGGAAACATGGAGCGATTTACTTTTAGCCTGCTCCCTACTTCCAAAGGTCAGCCGTCTTCCTGGCTTCTGAATTACCAGTTCCCCTTAGTTCTCCCTTTCCTTGCTACTTTTGACGATTTTTCTTCTTGTTCATATTTCCACCTGTAGGAGAACTTGAAAAAAAGAGATGTGAAACATAATAGGTCAGGCAGGAAGCTCTTGACGAAAGGAATATTTTTGAAATTTTGGTGTATGTATCTGCCAGAACTTTAGGAATTAATATTTCATGAGTATCATCATTATCATTATGATAATTATAACCCATTTCACATGAGAAGAAAAAAATTAATGAGAATGTTTGCTCAGGTCCCTTCCTCATGGCACTGTTACAAGCCACCTTTGATTTGGAGTGGAAGAAGTACCACCTTGGAGTACTTTGGAGCCACTGGAAGAGTAGTGAGGTGGACTTTAGGCCTTTACATAAACCTGTTGGCATCCCAGGAACTGTGCCTTTCCCACTCCTCTATCAGCCAAGGGCTCTCACTGGGGAAGAGAATGAACAGTAACTGAGATATAGGGCAGGGAGTTTGACCTGGCCCACCATATTTTCTCTGTCCAGGTGGACTGTCTTTCTTTGTCCACCCAGTATTTATGCCAGATATGTGAGTAGTACCAAGAGGTATCAGGAAAGGGACCAAAGGGATGTAGCTAGTGCTCAATAAATGTCCACTGAATGAGTACATGCAGAAAATTTAGCTGTTGTTACATCTGTTTAGAATGAAGGTTTCCTTTTTCTGCCAAGAAGCAAGGGGATAGATTAGACAGAAGCAATGCAAGAGATGACATATCTGCCTAAGGGTACAGCAGGTCATGGGTAGAGCAGAGTTATTGCTGTGGAGAAGAAGGATGGAAGGCTTATCTTTCTCTGTGTGTCTTCAGCTTTGAGGAGGGCGGCAGGAGAAAGTGTGGCCAATACTGGCCTTTAGAAAAAGACTCTCGGATCCGATTTGGCTTCCTCACAGTGACCAATCTAGGCGTGGAGAATATGAACCATTATAAGAAAACAACGCTAGAAATTCACAACACAGAGGTAAATTTTATTTTCTCACTCTTTTGAAGCTGGGGGAAAACCTTTACTGTAAAAATCTCCAAAGGGAATAGGCAGGATTCCAGGGAGCTTATAAGTTACTTCCATTCTTCTGGAAACAGGATCAGGATATTCGACTCAGAGCCAGAATAGCCATATTGTCTCAACACAACAGTGGCATTACTTAGGAATGAAACTTTTTATAACATAAGAAATCTGGATCATATAATATAGGAATTCTGCCCTCTCCAGGCATTTAATCTTTCCTTTGCGTTCATAGAGAAGCAATTGTGGAGAAAGTTGAGGGTGATAGGAACCTTGGTGATAGCAATTCCAGAGGGTTGAGAATCTGGAAAAGCCAAAGGTAGTCAGAGGCAAGGAGAAATGACCTCATTAACTTTTGCTTCTTTTTTCATCCAAGGAACGGCAGAAACGCCACGTGACCCACTTTCAGTTCCTGAGCTGGCCAGATTATGGTGTCCCTTCCTCGGCAGCTTCCCTTATTGATTTCTTGAGAGCCGTCAGGAACCAGCAAAGGCTGGCCGTCAGCAGCATGGGAGCACGCTCCAAAGGGCAGTGCCCTGAGCCACCCATTGTGGTCCATTGCAGTGCAGGCATTGGCAGGACAGGTAATGCACCTGATGCAGCTCTTGGAGCATCCAGAGGCACTAAGGGTGGGGGAGGAATAACAAAGCTCTTAGTTGCCAGAATGTGCGTATTTGATCCATTGGTGGTGAATTACCATGAAAAATTCCTCTTTAATGTCCTTTTAGTATCCCAAGTGTTAGGTGTACTGGCCAGAATATATACTTCACAAGCCAAGTCCTCTAGGGGTTTGATGCTTTATACATCCCATCAGCATGATTATCTTCTGATCCCATCACTGTCACCTGGGTGTCCCAGAGAGCTTCAGCTGGGCTGTTGCTTTCTTCCCATACACTTCCCTGGGGAGATTTCCACCCTGGACTGTGCTCTCCATTCTGGAACCAGTTAGCAGCTTTTGCCTTAAGCAGATGTACATTGCAGGGACTGTTGGCCTTCTAGTTCAGAGGTCCCTTTGGGAGAAAGGAAGAATAGGTTTGTGATAGGTCTCTGTGGAGAAGTTGTGGATTCTGAAAATTAGGGCCCAGGTGTGGGAGTGCTGTCATTCTATCTGTCTGGGATTGAAGCAAGAAGTCCCTCTGGGGCTTCCCTGGTGGCGCAGTGGTTGAGAGTCCGCCTGCCGATGCAGGGGACACGGGTTTGTGCCCTGGTCTGGGAAGATCCTACATGCCGCGGAGCGGCTGGGCCCATGAGCCATGGCCGCTGAGCCTGCGCGTCCGGAGCCTGTGCTCCACAACGGGAGAGGCCACAACAGTGAGAGGCCCGCGTACCGCAAAAAAAGAAAAAAAGAAGTCCCTCTGTCACCTTCCCACCTACTCTTCCTATTACCCCCATATATGTCCTGAGAGACAAGAGGCCTTCTCATTTCTCTGGGCTTCAACACTCCCTGTGACCTCCTCCTTGAGCCCTTTCAGGCCTAAGGCCAACTGGCCTCCTGCCATGAGGCACCTTGCCATTGAATTCATTCATCCAATCCTGCCTGGGTAATTTGGTAGAGGGAGGGAAAGAGGAGAGGTAGATCAGGTATGACCACTTCCTTCCTTCCTTCAGGTACCTTCTGTTCATTGGACATCTGCCTGGCACAGCTGGAGGAGCTTGGCACCCTAAATGTGTTCCAGACGGTGTCCCGCATGAGGACCCAGAGGGCCTTCAGCATCCAGACCCCTGAGCAGTACTATTTCTGCTACAAGGCAATCCTGGAGTTTGCAGAGAGGGAGGGCATGGTGCCCTCCAGCCACAACCTCCTGGCCATGGAGGGTCAGTAACTGTCCCACGAGCCTCCTATCTGCTGCCCAGACTTCCTTAAACTACCCTGGACACCGCTGAGCCTATAGGTTGCCATCAGTTACACTGAAGCCATGGACCAACCTCTTTCTCGTGTCTCCCGGCGCACGCGTGCACGCAAGGCAGCCTTTCCCTTTGGCTAGATAGATGTGGTGACATTGCCACTAGAAAGGGCCGGCAGCAATGTGTTCTTAATTCCTAGCACCTGCTATCGAACTGTGCCTTATTAAAACCAAATTGTGGCTATCGATTTTTGCCAGGGGCCCCGAGGTAAGTGGGGAAGGAACCTCCCTCCCCCCTTTCCCAATGCCATTCTCCTTCTCAAGGTCTCTTTCCATTCCTTCCCTTTGCTAGGATTTCATGGGGAGGTTTGGTGAGCATCCACCTCCTTCCCAGAGAGCTTGACCAAGTTACATATTCTAGAGAACGTCCTGAGTGCCAAGCACGTTTATACCTAGGGCGTGTATTCCAGTCTTTTCTGTCATTCTCTGTGTGTGCGTGTGTGTATGTGCACTTATGTGTATGAGTCCATACGTACGTGTGTATATAATATATACTGTATGTGATAATATGGTCGTATTCTATAAATACATATACACAGAGATACTCCTTTGTAGAAGTTCCTGGGGCTTCTTGTTGCAGTTCAGGACTCCTCGCTTTTTGGATCCTACTGTTTATCCTGGACGAGCTGGGGTTGGGGATCATGTTGCCTGTTGTCAGACCGCAGAGTGGTGGAAGAGGACACACACACATCCACTCTCCATGCTCCTGCCACAGGCCCTCATCCTTATATAATGACTTATCTCTCTCCAGGATGCTGCCTGTTGGAGCCAAGAATACTGGTTTGTGGTGACACTGGTTTAATTCAGCATGGATTGCCCTTATCTAATGGTTCTTCCTCCGTTTACTTTGCCAATTTTGGGAATAGACCGCCACTGTGATTCCAGACCCTCTCTCCCCTCTCCCTATCCCTTGGGGGTTGGGATCTGGGCAGAGATGAATTCACTGAGCAGCCAGAGCCAAAAGCAATCGGTACGAAGTCTTAGAAGGAGAGAGAGGGAGCCCACGTGTGAGAGAGAAGAGACTACATACCATGAGACTCCCTCCCTGAGAGAATGAGCTGGGGCCCCTTTTTCTTTTGCTAGAATGTTCTTTTTCTTATGCAGCTTGGCCCTGTCCATTCATATGCCCATTTCTTTCTTGCCTCTAGCCTGCCAAACCCTGGAGCTCAAGCTGGGTGGGTTCTGTGTCAATCAAAAGCTTAACGCCTGTCTGGGTGAAGCAGTCCCCTGCAATCACTGTTTTCCCCCTATTCATTCAACCTGTCCCTGTCTGCTCCCAGCCTACCTAGCCTGATATGCCAGGGATGGAATCAAGACTCCCAGCATTCCACATTCCCAAGACAATCCCAGGAACCCCTAAAACTTCTCCCCCTATCACAGATGAGGTTGGCAGCTGATCAGACCTCAATAATTTTATACTGTAATAAGCTTTTTGAATGTATATATTCTTATTTTTACAATCTTTTCATTTTGTATTTAACGTCAATGGACTGAGTCAGATTCAGAAAATAATTGTAATGTTCATATTCGATATCTTACAGCGATACAGTTTTGTATTTACATATAAATATACCGACATGATCAAATCCTTTTAGCTTCATCAATTTAGTAGCAGTCTGGGGCTGGGAAGGTGAGGAGGGGCTCCAAGAGCTGGTCTGGGAGGGATGGGGAGGCAGGGAGGAACCCAAGGCCTCATAGCTTTTCAGTTCTGAGAGCTGCCCATCTTGCCCAAGGCCATGGCCCAACTCTGGGCAGACAAAGGGAACCAGCACCAGTTGACTGCTTGCCAAGTGCCAATCGCTGTGTTTGGTGCTTCCCCCCCCATTACCTCATTTAAACCTCACAACAATCCAGTGAGATGTTACTCTCCCTTCCTTCTGTTTCTGTGTAGATGAGAAAGGTAAGGTACAGAGGGTTACAGTGAAGGTAAGGTTTAGCAGGTCCAGCTCTAGAACTGGAGCTCAGGCTGGTCTGCTTACAAAGCTTTGGCCTCTTTACTGCGTTGCTATCTCAAAGATCGAGATAGTGTTTTCTCTTTGGAAATGAGTTTTTTTAATGTTCTATTCAAGGTATAGACAGTTCTTAAGTTCCAGGTAGTTGATCTTGACTAGATCTGTATGTAATAGACAAGAAGGGTTTCTGACAGAGTTGGTGACTGATTCTCCCAGATAGGACCTCCTGGTACAGGTCCTCAAGTCTGCAGGGTACCAGAGGGGTCATTCTCTCAGGGAAACCCCATACATTTGGTTACACTGGTACCTTTGTTGGAAGATCTTGAGTCATTTGCATCTCTCTCTTAGAGTAGAACCAGAAGATTTGTCCACGTAGGACCACTCCCCATGCTCTGTAGCTCTTCCCTGTTGGTCAGTGACACCTGTGCAGTTGGAGCAGTTCTGGCATGGGGTGTTCTTAATAAAAGTGACAGCAGCTGACATTTACTGGTTGCTTAACTCTGTTGCAGGTACTGTTCAAAGTGCTTTCTCGGTATTATCTCATTCACCCTCAAACCAAACTTTTGAGGTAGGTATTGACAGAAGAGAAAAACTGAGGCACAGGAGAATTAATTTGCCACAGCAAGAACTCGGACCACCTGACTCAGACCTCTAAGGATCCATCTCCTGATCTTCTAACAAAATATTCTTGAGTTTCTTACCTTAATCAAGAGCTGACGTATAGTGCAAAAATTAAGCCAGACCTTTCTTTGGATGTTCCCTTGGGGACAGGCAAGCATAATAGGTAAACAGAGATACATGAAATCTGGGAAATCAGAGAGGTTAGGGGTTTGGGGAAGTATGTAGGAAACAAGATTAATGATAAAAGATTTGGAGGAGGTGGCCTTGAACTGTCATTTATTTGAAGAGACTGTAGCCCAACTGCTGTTAAATTCAGAAGTTATGCATGAGTTCTTCATTGCACATCTAAGGATTGGTGAGGTTATCACTTGCAAGGGCTCCATACAAATGCAGTTTCCTGGGTCCTGCCCAACAGGTGGTTGAGTGAGCGGCAGGATGAGCCAGGTTTTTGAACCATTGTTTTAGTCCGTGCCCCTGACTCTAAGGAAGGTTAGCAAATTGATGTCTCCTAAATCTGAGAGAAAGAGATTAATAGCTTCCCCCCCACTGCTGTAGTCTGCTTGTAGCCTTTACCCTTGGGAAGATAATTAATACTCAGTGTGCGCCTACCTGTGTTGGGTGTTAAAGGGGAAGAGAGAGAAGGAGCCCTGAATCTGTCCAGGAAGTCAAGGCTGTCACATAGGAGATTTGGTGAACAAAGCAAGAGAACCCACAATGAAATGCTGGATTGCACAGTTGAGAACGTAAGATGAAGAAAGTGTTCAGGGGAGAGAGAATATTGTGGGTAACTCAGGCTTCTGCTTCTGATTTGACTATTTTTTCACTTAATTTACTCCCTCTAGGCTTAGTCCCTTCATTCTGCCCATCCCTGTTAGCTAGGATGGGACTCCTGAGGTGAAGGGTACCCTAGCATCCTCAGCCTGGGAGGTTCACCATTGTCAATCTCCATGTCACAGTGTGCAGGTAAATGACAGAATGCGACTGGTTCTTGGGAGGCTGGACTATTTAGCATCATATCTTGAGGAAGATGGGACTCCTGCCCTTATGGTCTTCCCATCTCTAGAGACAACCAGACACATATGGAAACTCTCATAAATCAGACACCTGCAGGTAGGGGGGTCAGGAGGTATGGCCAGGTAGAAAAGCCTTCTTAGAGTGACTGAGCTCTTTGGTAGTTTTGAGATCTCACCACTCAACTGAAGCCAGGTCCTAGCTTTTGTAAAAGAATGTGCTCTATTAGATGATCCTACTGCAGGCCCTTCAACTCTGAGGGTCTAGTTCTTTGCTGGACGGTGCAGATGCCTATAGAGGAACTATCAGACCCTTGTCTGGTTGGGTCAGCTCCCACTTGAAATCCCCAGTTTTAGCTTGTTTTCAAAGTCTTCTCTTTCAAGGTGCAGCCACCTCCCTATTCCCTCAGTTCCCTTCGCACTTGGCCCCCAACTTGGTAAGCAGCAAGTCTCCCCTATAATCCCCAGGCCATCCCATAGACCTTTAAGGTTTCTACGCTGTTACATGTGGGGCAGACAGAATGACTCAGAGCGGAGGAATGAACTAATCAAGCTACCAGAGCTCCCAACCGAGGTCTTAGGTTTGTCTCCAACCTGGGTTACTACCAAGATTACTACCCCCAGACCATCATTAGCTAACCAAGGACAGGAGCTAAAAGCTCCACCAGTTTGGGAACTATATTTCCCCTTGGGAGATATTCACCCTATAGTTAACCATCACACAAACAGTTGTGAATATCAAGTGTTTTGGACTGCACTGCTCTTAACTGACCACAGAGAAGACTGGGTCTTTTCCACAGATAGAAATCTAGCACTCTCAGAAACCTGTTGCAGTGTTTAGCCTTCCTTCACCCCTCACCATAGCTTTCACAAAATCCTTCTTTTTCTTTAAGCTAAATCTGGCGTTCTGCAGTCTTAAATGCTCTCATTTTTTTCTGGCTAAGGCCAACATGGACATAACTAACTAAACCGGAAACCTAGAGTGTTGGTTGGAGATGGGGAGCAGTGATCCCTTTTTGACAACTTAGGGTAATATGTTCCTGACATGGAAATATGTTCCTGATGCAGTTTTTAGGACTAAGATGAAGGTGAAAGTAGGAAAGCAAGACAGTGAGTTGTGTAGAGAAGGTAGTCAAAAAAGGCACAGTGCCGTCTTCCCCACTCTAGGCTCACTTCTTTCTACCCCTCCCCCTGCATCAGCACCTGGTTACTTCTCTAAGCTAATATAGTTATCTTAGCCTCAAGACTGGCCAGATGCACAGCTGAGTCTAGGTCACCCACTTTATCTTGTGAAGTCTGTTTTACCTCCTTGACCTTTAATGAATACCTATTCTGTGGCCAGCAGCCAGTGGACGTATGGAGTATGATGTTCAGAGCAGATGCTAGGCTGGAGATATCAGTTGGGGACTTAGTTTAGATAGAAGCTAGGAGCCTTGGAAGTGGGTGAGAACAAAGACGAATGAAGAGAGCAAGAAGACAGGAGAGACCCTTGGGAGCCACCAATATTTAGGGGAGGATGGAGGAAGAAAAACCTGGGAAAGATTCTGATTAATAGGCAGAGGCAACCAAGGTCAAGACTAGGCTGTGTTCTCACAGACTGGTGAGAGGTGGGGAGTAGCTGGGATGAATGAACAGGATTAATAAATGGAGGTTCACTAGTGATCTTGGGGCAGGGGCTGACGAGGAGGAGGCATGAGTGGGAGGTGAAGGGATAGAGACTGCAGTGCTTGGGGTTCACTTCAACCAAAGCAAGGCCCACCTTTATCTATTACGTGTTAGACCTCTGAATGAGATTTCATTTGAACAAAGGAACCTGCTGCCTTAAAAAAAAAATCATCAAACAACTGATATGCAGAATAAAACACTTTGAAAGCATAAAGCTGGGTAAACTGGGAACATATTGTTATATCTGTTTTCTAGATTTGGGCTGAAGTGACCTAGGGGGGTAAATAATGCTAGGT